TTTTTTTTGCTGTACTTCGAACATGTTCAAACACGTCACGCCAGTGAGAGTAGAGTCCTGATCTCACTTCTGATGTAAGCTTGAGGGTAGACATTATCTTGTTGAACACCAAGTAAAACGATGTCACTTTTTGATTCCTGATTTAATCAACAATATGTTATCTTAACAATTCACTTTAACACTTGTCCAACTTTAACCAGTACGTACAACAGTCACTGAATCACACAACGTAACAAGGATATAGTAAGTGCACCAGGCAAGCGCAGTCCAACGAATGTTCATTTCAAGGCACGTTCCGCCTTTTTATACTAGCCGGCGCAGCTGGCTTATAAGTCACTTCTGTTGCAGCTGTTGTTTACGAGTGGAACGACACGGCCGGCGCACCTGGCTTGTGTGAGTCACTCCTATTGCACGTGCTATATAACATAAATATCGTTAACGCCGTCATATACATTAACGAAATTCAAATTGATCTAACAAAATAGACCATATCTTTGACTTTTTATAATGTCAGTATATTTATGAATAAGTGTATATTGTACAAAAAACCGTTCTGCTTATAGTAAACACAGTCGGTAGTCTGGCGCTCCGTTTACAACGGGATTTTTGAACGGAACTTGGCGCCAGATTCTACCGAATCTGTGGATATAAGAGTTTGACAGAGCTACTTCAAATTTACAATATATCGAAACATGGAAATTTGATTTTAAAATTCTATTTTCGAAAAGTCTAACTTACATTTTGATTGCAGATTTATATAATATTTGGTTTATAATTGTTGTTAATGAAAATTCTATTGGTATTTGCTCGTTTGCTAATATCAGGTCTTTAATTGTTTGCCTTTAGATCTTTAATTTAATTACCGTTTAGTATACAGAAATTTAAAGTATTTTGAAAATAAATATTTCGGTATCGACGCATCTCTGCTAGCGCAGTCGATTCCTTTCTTGAAGAAATCAGGTTTACGGGTGCCAACAAACTCTTCAAAAGCATTTCGTACTGTCTCTCGGGTATTGATTTTTTTCCATGCCAAGAAGTTGACCAAACATTAAAAAAAGTAGAAGTCTGTCGGCGCCAAGTCTGCCGAGTATATGGTGTTGGATGGTGGAGACATATGGTGTTTTTTTTTTCTACCTAAGCTGATGGCCTTGAGAGGCTATTTCAGCTTCGCCCTAACGTTTGTAGGTGAGCTCACGGGGCTCAAACCGGAGAGTTGCTAACACTGACCCTAGCAAGAGTAGTGCTTCGCAGAATCTACCACCGGATCGGAAACGCGACCCACTAAGAAGATCCGGCGAGAAACTCAGTTGGCTGTGTCTGTGAGTTAATTTACTCGTCGAGCCTTTCGTCGCAAGCGACGGGTTCGACGAGAACGGTGACCGGTGCTTGAGGTCCTTAAAGGCACCGTTAGTGGATCGAGAGGATCCGAAATGACGTGTTTGGGGCGACGTCGACTGCTTTCCATTCTTTCCACAGGATCGGGAATGTATATGGTGTAAAATTGCAACCCTTGTAACTTAGAGACCGTCTGTTGTTTCGTATGAGGTCGAGCGTTTTCTTGCAGGAACAGCCCGCTGAGTTTCTCGCCGGATCTTCTCAGTGGGTCGCGTTTCCGATCCGGTGCTATATTCTGCGAAGCACTGCTCTTGCTAAGGCCAGTGTTAATATCACTCCGGTTTGAGCCCCGTGAGCTCACTTACTAGTTAAGGTTACGCTAAAATAGCCTCTCAAGGTTATCAGCTTAGGTAGGAAAAAAATAATTGCGGGAACAGTGGGGACGAGCGTATAACCAACGCTGTCTGGGGATTCGCGAGATTCTTCGTCATTGTGTCTAGTGTGCTTAGTGAGAGTTTTTTAACTTCCTCACAATACACACACACATGTGCAGTAATGCTAGTGCCATTTAGTAAGAAGCTGTGATGTATAATATCGGCACTAAATCTCCAAACAGTGAACATGACTTTTTTATTATTGCTTAGATGAGCGGACGAGCTCACGGCCCACCTAGTGTCAAGTGGATACCAGAGCTCATAGACATCTATCTAGATCGTAAATGCCACCACCTACCTTCAAATATGAGTTCTAAGGTCTTNTGCAGTAATGCTAGTGCCATTTAGTAAGAAGCTGTGATGTATAATATCGGCACTAAATCTCCAAACAGTGAACATGACTTTTTTATTATTGCTTAGATGAGCGGACGAGCTCACGGCCCACCTAGTGTCAAGTGGATACCAGAGCTCATAGACATCTATCTAGATCGTAAATGCCACCACCTACCTTCAAATATGAGTTCTAAGGTCTTAGTTTTTACAGCACAACGACTGCCTTACTTCAAACCGAAACACAGTCATTACTGCTTCATCGCAATAGGCAGGGTGGTGATACCTACCCGTGCGGACTCACAAGAGGTCCTACCACCAGTAATTACGCAAATTATAATTTTGTGGGTTTCATTTTTACTACACGATGTTATTCCTTCACCGTAATCACCGTGGAAGTCGTGACATTTCTTAAGTCACCTATTTCGTTGGAAAAATTGGTACCCGCCTGCGGGATTCGAACACCGCTACATGGTTACATGCGAACGCACCGGACGTGCGTCCTTTAGGCCACGACGATCTCAAACTTTGGGGGAAATTTTTCATTTGGGGAATTATATAGGTTCTAAACCATGGTCCAAAAGTTATCATGGCCAGTATTCTAAATCCCTTTGTTTAAGCCGTCGCTGTTGACTTTATCGCTTTCGGACGACCCAGGATTTCCTTTTTTAGATAAAAATTCCGTTGCTGGAAGCGTTCAAACCAATAACGAGTCGTTTGTAGTGTTCACTATGTATACGTCATTAATGCTGCTACCACGTTGCATTGCTACCACGACGGAACTGATATTCACGTCCTTACGGATCCATCAGATCCAATTTGACCTTTGCATTAGACGCCTTCAGCTCTAATACTAGTCGAACTCTAATACTAGTCGAAGTCTAGTAGAACTCGACAAAGAGGTCGACATGCAACCTAACCCATGCATCAGCCCGCTGAGTTTCTCGCCGAATCTTCTCAGCGGGTCGCGATTCCGATCTTGTAGTAGATTTATTCGCGAAGCAATTGCTCTTGAGTTGTTAGGTCTCCTTCGGAGGCACTCGGGCAGTTGTTAGCAAATCCCACCCCTCCTGGCTGAGCCTTTGCTCGCCCACCTGTCCTGGTGAAACTGGAAAGGCCTCCGGGCCACCAGTAATCTTTCAATCATAAAAAACAGGAACTGGCATTCCATAATTACTCGTATTTTTATCGTGTCCATATAGATGTACAGGATCCAAATGTAGTGAAAACAAAACACTAACCACTAAAACATTTGACTGAATTTTAAAATAAAATTCCATATTTTTTTAATAAATTTTATTTGAATATTAAATTTAATGCCAGCCATATTTAAATTAAATTCCCAATGGCTAGTGTTGTAAAACAGTAACTTCATAAGTAAAGGATCCACATTATATTTTGAGAGTGTCAGTTAATAATCTGTAAATCGGCAATGTATTGTAAATAAAACGATTTATACAGACTTCCTTGTACTTGGTGTATGTAAGTGAATTGGCGAGCGGGGCTTTCCAAGAAGGTTATGTTACATATAATAATTATAGTTAGATGTTTTGAGAAAATGCTAGTTAGACAAAAATTGTTTATTGAAATATTTTGTTCGAAATAGTATCAGCGTTAGTAATTTATTGTTCTATATCTCCAGACGAGTTCATTGAAGTACATTTGGCCTTAAGCGACTGCCCTTACACATCCTCAGACACAAATAAAGCGTGATTATTAATGAGTAAGAATATTGCACCCTTTTGACAGACATTAAAAAATGTCAATACGAAATGCCACGCTAGAGAGAGAGAGAGAGAGTATTCTTTATTATACTTCAAAAAAATAAACAATCCGAAATATAGAATACAAAAAAAAGTACAATTGGTGGACTTATTGTTAAGAGCCATCTCTTCCAGACAACCATTAGGTGGAAAGGAATCATTTAACAACGGATTACACGCCCTAGATTATTTAAAATAGCAAGAAGTAATCAATGGACAATTGAGTCGACTATTATCAAAGCCGGCAATCTGACTTTTGGACAATGATTGGTAAATCAGAAAAACGAATTATTGACTTTGTATTCCATTGGCAGTCACAAAACTCTTCGGAACGACATCTTAGATAAATAACAGGTTAACTATTAACCTTTATTTAATGCAGGTTTTGAACCGTATTCTTTGAAGGAGACGATTATATTCANGCTTGCGACGAAGGGCTCGACGAGCGAACTAACCCATAGACACAGCCCACTGAGTTTCTCGCCGGATCTTCTCAGTGGGTCGCGTTTCCGATCCGGTGGTAGATTCTGCGAAGCACTGCTCTTGCTAGGGTCAGTGTTAGCAACTCTCCGGTTGAGCCCCGCGAGCTCACCTACAAACGTTAGGGTGAAGCTGAAATAGCTTCTCAAGGCTATCAGCATAGGTAGGAAAAAAAATAAAATTAAAATACTGCGCACTGAGGATAGTTCATTTGTATTTGTTGTAAATTAGGTAATTTGTCAGTTCGACTGCGACATATACGCACACAGAAGCACAGTGCTTGTGTCGCACGTTACACACGCAAACGTTGTACACTGCAGCTGTGCTCACGCGCATATCGTGGCGGCATTCGTTCGTTAGTTATTACGCGAACCGGTTTCTCGTGCGGTGGTGTCGAACAACGCAAACTTCCTGTTAAAAATTTACGAAAATAAATAATTTGGCTAGTTAAATTTTTGTGTGCTTCGTTTTGTATATACAATTAACAATAAAACTATTATTGTGGTGTGTGTGTGGTGAATTGCGTGCATTTCTTTCAATTGGAAACGTGTAGGTATTTTACAAATTCTATCTAGAAAATCTATAGCGATTGGTCGTGCGTGTTGTTTTATTGCCTTTTTGTTTTCTTTTATTTCATTCGTAACGGTAAGTTTACGCTCTTTGTACTAAATACTTGTGGTCATTGGAATGCTATTTAAATACATTAATATCAATCAGAAAAAACATTAGTATTTTATCTTTTTTATTTTTATTACATAGGTAGGTGGACGAGCTCATAATCTAATGTTATTATAGTTCGTGTTAGTATTAGGTATGTTCAGAAACCATTTCTTCCATTCTAGTACAATGAAATGAACTCCACAACCTTATTGTACCGGTACTAGTAGTATCAAATCTTTTTTGTCACATTACGATCGAGTGCGTCACAAGCAGGCAGAAAAAACATCCGAATAAATGAAAATTTAACTCTATAAAATATGTTTATTAACAAACTTAGAATGAGTCAGCGTACTGGCAGATCGCGTAATGAATCATACAAAAACTAACTATGGTTTTTTTGTTATGTAAATTTAGGTACAGAAACAGTTCAACCTAGGCGGCGCTCGAATAGTTCCTAGGAACGTCTCTTACCCTCTCACGGCTGAGCCGTGAGTTCGCCAACATTCTTGGTGAAACTCAAAAGAATAATCAGAAGCAATCGTTTCATTCAAAATACTTATTTATTATTGCATAAAATATTTATCATTTTTGTCTCTACGGGCGAACGAGCTCTCCCCTCCTGCGGGTATATAAGTGATAACATAGTGATTATATACTCTTTGTGTAAGTAAATAATAACCACTTAATAACACAGACACAAAATGATTATCGCTTTGAAAGATGAATTCAAAGTCAATGGCTTCTTATAACTGCTGTTCCAACATTCAAACCGAAGACAAATAACTGCTTCGCGATAGAAATAAGTGGAATTCTGGTGGATTTCTGTGGACCACAATGCGCTATAAGTATTATTATTAGTATATTTATGGTTCTAGTTTATGCTCTCTAAGATTGACAGACCCATGCTTCTTATATTGCCTAAAAGCAGTCAGTCCGGTTTGGAAATGGTTGAGACTCAAACTTAGCAGTGTTATCTAAAGTGAAGTTTGTATAGGTATGTGGATTTCAGTGACCACTTTATAACTGGGTTCATGTAGCTAAAACCCATGTTTGTATTGACAATTCGTTAATTTTTCGATGTATTTATAATGGCAATATATTTTGGTGCTATTATATCAATAACAACGTGTATACGTATGTACGTAGGTAGCTTACATTTGAAATTACCCAGAATATAAATTCATCAAAATTACATAAACAAGAATACTTAAGAAATTATTCAATTTAAGTATCTGTAGAAACATTATCTCATTCTAGAGTAGGGATGATCGATATTCGAAAAACATCGATTTAAAAGTATCGATGTACCATAAACATCGATAGCACAACATTGATGTTTTTGGTAGGAAATAAAACTGTCTATTTTATTTCTTATACATGTTTATTAGTTAAAACTACGTTTTACGGATTATAAGCGGGCGTTTAATTATTGGACTTTACTCCAACATCACACTTCACAATTTACATTTTCTTCATATGTTAAAACATCGATTTTTTGCACCTAAACATCGATGTTTATTCAACATCGATGAATATCGATCATCCATATTGTAGAGCAAACAAATTCGCAACCTTTAACACGATCCATGTGTCAGTGAATCATTTCATTTGACAAATTTAATAAAATGTTCTTGCATCATGCAATGGCTCGGTGAAAGTACACTGACCGACGTGATGTTGATTGTTTTGTTGGAGTTACTAAGACAGATGATCAATAACATTGGCAATGTCACGACGACGGTTAAATTAAAAAAAATAGCTATTTGGTAGGTACGTGCTAAGACGTTTAGATAATAAATAAATATTGAAGGTAGTTCTAAAAATACGATGTTCGCAATATTTAATGGGACTTTTTGGCGGGAACGCGAGGAGTGAAGTTGTGTAATTTGTTTTATTTTGTCTATTTTGTGTTTCTTCGGGTTTAAATGTGTAATAATGATGGTTTATTAACTGTTTAATATCTGTGAAAGTGCACAAATGTGGGAAAATGAAACAAAGCTGCTGGACGTAACTTCTCGGGATCCTCCAAAAAGTCCACTGAAAAAATCTTTGTAAATAACCACCATTTTACTGAGATTATATTTCATTCCATTTCATTTCATTTAATTTCATCCCAGTTGATTAATGTCACAAATAATAATTAATTGTCTTCATTTCATTTCATTTCACTCCATATTATCATTTTTCATAAAAATAAGAACATAAATTAAAATAAGACATGACTTAAAGGTCTTAGTTACCAGGTCATAAAATCTCTTAAAAAAAAGCAATATTTAATGCACTTATAATCGCAGCACACGAAATATAATTCAGGGCGTTGGTATGTCTTTTCAAGAAACATTAGCGTCGTACCGTTTTCAAAAATTTGGGCATATCTTGGTCTGTCACAGTTAGTCCTTGACTTTGTTTTGATTTCTCAGTTGTATGTATTTGCGGTATCCCTTCACTGGTTTCAAAATCTGGCTGAGCCTTTGCTCGCCTACCTATCTTGTTGGCAAAGGTCTCTGGGCCACCAGTAATCCCTCATTCATAAAGAGGTTTCCCATCCATACTTCGATGACGCAATAGTACCTAATTATAACCCTTTACTAACTTCAGAACAAAGAGGGAGCCATATTTTTTTCTTATACTTTCATATCTGTGTTATTAAATAGATATTTCATCAAAATTACTTCTATAGTAAGTGTTCTGTATTAAATACACTACAAAAAATACGACATTAAAGTTAACAAAGTTGCGTATTTTGTTTGTTGTGTTTTTAATGAAGTCTTTTTTTATTTTTAACAGAATTCTAGGAAACCGTTGTAACTATACTGAGCAACTGTAACTATACTGAGCAACTGTAACTATACTGTTGGCAGCCGTTGTAACTGTACTGAGACCTTAGAACTTATATCTCAAGGTGGGTGGCGCATTTACGTTGTAGATGTCGATGGGCTCCAGTAACATCTTAAAACTGGGTGGGCTGTGAGCTCGTCCACTCACCTAAGCAATAAATATTTAAAAAAAAAAACGGAAGTTGATCTCAATTCGACTCTGTTTTTTTTTTGGGGTTATTTTGAATCAATTTTGAAGATGTTTTTTTTTATTCGAATGCTTGTATTCCCATGTTGTCTAATTTGTAATGAAATCTAACCAGTTGTTTTTGAGTAAATCCTTAATAATACAGATTTTACTAACTTCATCATAGCATCAATGATATTCACACTTTAATTAGTTGAAGTCGGTTGTTTTTTTATATAAATAAGTTTTAATTAGAAATTATATTAATCAATGCGTGTCGGCTCTTAACCCAATGGCATTAATGAACGGAAACCAGCAAACCACAGAACGTCCAATGGAAATATATTGGTGTGGTCAAATTATAAATGTTTTAGAAGTAGTAAAAATACCATAACACGAGAATTGCAGTGTAAAACTAAAATTAAACCATAGTACTGATACTTTTTTTTAGGTATTTTATGATCTGGTAACTAAGACCTTTAAGTCATGTCTTATTTTAATTTATATTCTTATTTTTATGAAAAATGATAATATGGAGTGAAATGAAATGAAATCAAATAAAGATGAGATGATACGGGATGAAATATAATCTCAGTAAAATGGTGGTTATTTATTTACTGAGATTGTTTCAGTGGACTTTTTGGAAGATCCCGAGAAGTTACGTCCAGCATCTTTGACTCATTTTCTCACATTTATGCAGTTTCACAGATATTAAACAGTTAATAAAACCACCGTTATTACACATTTAAGCCTGAAGAAACACTAAATAAACAAAATAAAACAAAACACGCAACTTCACTTCTCGCGTTCCCGCAAAAAAGTCCAGTACTGATGCTGAAGCAGTAATGTACACAGATTAACCCAGGCATTTTAATGTGCTCCAACGTTGATTTGAAACAGCAACGTTGTGCTCTTAATAAATTTCGTTTGTAACTTCTTGAGCCAGAGATTAATTATTCCTAGCTAGATTTGGACCGAAATTTAATAGAGCAATATAAGACCAAAATAAACGTTCTTAAAATATTTCAAATATTTATTATTTAATTATTATTTAAATGCAGAAAAAACGGCTGAATGTATTATTTTAATTATTTGGTATCTTGTTTTCTAATAATAATGCATACAATAGAACCCGAAGCGGATGAAATAAAAGGAACACCAAAGGAAGAAACAGAAAAAATATATCCTAAAGGCATGTCGTAATGGATACGAGGAAAACCAACCAACCAAAGAGAGTGACGTCAGGCAAGCCGGTCGTAAAACTCAAATGTCAAATACCTAGGCAGCATGATATGAGAACATACTATAGCATCCCTATAGGATTGTGGGATAAAGACAAGAAACAGAAGATTTGAAATTAGCAAGAATGTCTTCAATATATCTGAATAGTCCTGTATCCTGAAATGTTAATTCAATTAGAATAGCATACGCAAAATTTTTAAGAGGCGCGAAAATTAATTTAGGACAAAATAAACTTACTACCTCACAAACTGTTGATTGATATATTTTAAGATTAAACAATTGCCTGGTAATTGTTTACAGCGTCAAGTTCCAAATCCATAAACACTTTTTTCTTTTTGTTTATATTTGACATCGAACAGCTTCGACAAAGCAAATAAGCAGAAAGACCAAAAAAAACTAGTTACAGAGATTCACTTTAGTAACTCCAGCACTGACTAGAGCCAGTGTTAGCAACTCGGTTTGAGCCCCGTGAGCTCACCTACACGTCAAGGAGAAGCTGAAACAGCCTTTCAAAACTATTTCAGCATAAGTAGGAAACAAAAACAACTCCAGCGCGGAATCTAGGCGGCCGTGGCACAACTTTTATACACAAGAATACTGATCAGTTGTTCCTACTCACACACATTATTGGCCCCAAGATAAATAAGTAATAAAAAGTCGCACCAATCACGCAGTAATCTGCACTATGGGAACTAGGGCCATATTTATAAACGGTTGAACCTATACATACCAAGGGCCCAGACTAAAAGCAATCGGAACGGTACTTCGATAAGGCTATGCGTCATGATAATCGCCTTATCGTAGCCGCCGCTGACTACTCCCCGAATCCTGATCATGCAGGAGCCAGTCACCGTCGACGCCCTAGACACGTCCTTACGGATCCATCAGATCCAATAACCTTTGCACTAGACGCCTTCAGCTCTAGGAGCAGGCTTAGGGACCTCGGTAACCGTACTCGTCGAACTCGACAAAGAGTTCGCCGTGCAACCTAACCCATGAATCAGCTCGCTGAGTTTCTCGCCGGATCTTCTCAGCGGGTCGCGATTCCGATCCGGTAGTAGATTCATTCGCGAAGCAGCTACTCTTGAGTTGTTAGGTCTCCTTCGGAGGCGCTCGGG